TATTCTATTGACTACCACTAAAATTGGCCATAAACCCCAAAATCTAGTTATCCTGGTGATCGCAGACCAACCCATAAATCAGTGCTCTCTTAGGGAGTTTATGTCACAACCATCAAATTAAGCCTCACCCAGCCCTCATGAAGGGCTCTCCATCTAACCCAGGTGTATCTATTTGGATATCAAGGATGACCGAGGGGATCTGGGTATATATGGGCTTCTTGGAACTCTAGTCCAAAGTGAATGATATCACAGGTTGGCAAATCTATCATCACCGGTGTTCTCATGGTTGAGGTCATTCCTTCATCACCAAATCAGCCAAATCGTTGTAGGAAAGATGGATTTCTAACTAGTAATGCTATAAATGTTCACGTTGATTATAAGATGTTAGGTGAAATACTTGTAAAAAAAAAGAGAAAAAAACTTATTAGAAATTTATCATCAATCAAGAAAGAGAATACTTGTTCTGCAAATTAATAATCCCTTAAGACGTGAAGGGTAGTCTCATCCTTATTTTGGCAATAAATATAAAAAGGTCTCTTAGATGATGTGTCGTCTCCTTTATTCTATATTGGTCAAGAGCTTTCAGATGTCCTTCCAAATTCAGTGTGGGTTGCTACTGTTATTATTAGATACCAAGAAATTTATTGCACTAATAGAGAGTTTTCTGTCGGGCGAGCATAGCCAAACAGGGGTATGAGTGGTCCTAAAAATATTAGCCATAACAATTTGAGAATTTTAAATACATAAAAAGGCTAAAATGGGGTATTGTAATTCGTGCCAATGCTTATACCCCTCAAGCGAGCCAAAGGAGAAAATAATCATTGTACGAGGGGGGTAGCTAGTGTGAAAAAAAAGAGGATGATTGCTTACTCAAATGTCCGCCCAAAAATGAATCCTACTTCAATCACCCACCTTTCAAGTGATTTCCTCCTTAAAGGTTTGGATGGCTCATATGAGATTTTTTTTTAAGTCTCAAAACTATTGGTTTGGAGTTGGGTAATCCTATAAATAATCTTATTAAGAAAGTTATTTGCTTTAAAATTTAAGCTTACAGTCTATTGGGTTCCTTAAACACTCTCCAACCAAGCTTCATAAGGAAAACTTTATTTTTATTTCTCATCTTCTGAATTCCCAGCCCACCTCTCTCTTTATACTAACGGACTCTATTCCACTTAACCAGATGAATTTTTGTTTCCCCACTCAAGAGTCCCAGATAAAGTCCTTAATAAACTTATCTAATTAATTAAAAGTCAAAGAGGGGAGTCAAGTTTTCTACATCATATATGATAGAATGATCGACATGATCAATCTGACAAGGTAATTCTCCTGGCCATAGGTAAATGGACTATTTGGCATTTGGCAAGCCTCTTTTAAACTTTGTTAATGATGGAACTATAGGTAGAAAACATGATTTAGGTACACAAGAATAGTGCCTCCAAGTAACAATCAAGGTCTTTAATGAGAGATATATTGCTAACTTCACTTAATTATAAGAGGTTTCTATAAAGAGGTATAGATCATTGGAAAAAAAAACGAGATTTTAAGTCCACTTTAGCTCATCTGAAGAGGCTTGTAAGATTTACCATCAATTTCTTGATTGATAAGTTGTCAAGTCTTTAAACACAAAGATGTAAAGGGATAGGTGATCCCCTTAACAAATAGCCCTAAAGGGGATAATACGATTCATGACCTTACCATTGAACGAAAACTTGCATTGATATGAAGCAAATATAATACATAGTCGCATTAATCCATTTAAAGAGGAAGCTAACACTAGTGAGTGTATAAAGTCTCAATTCAGCCTATCATAAGTTTTCTCGATATGGATCTTAAGGGTCATATACCATTTTCACCCCTTTTTACTTTGCATAGAGAGTATAAATTTTTGTGCAATGGTATGTTATCCATAATTTGCCTTTTCAATACAAAGCTAGTTTGGTTAGGGTCGATCAAATTGTTGTACTTTAATCATAATTTTAAAGATACCGTTACAAAAACTAGTGGGATAAAAATCATTATAAGTTTCGGCATATACTTTTTGAATATGAGAGTAATAAGGGTGTCATTAACATGATTAATTCTACGTTTCTCAAAGATACCTCTAGTAAAATCTTTAATACTTTAGCTCACCACATTACCAATATCTTTGGTAGAAAGCACCATGAAGATACCCAACCCTAAAGCTTTGAGCAGCCCTGTAGAATTAATAACCATAGTGATCTCCTCATCTTTTATGGGTTTACCCAACTCGCTAAAGCCCTCCTCACTAATTCCCAGGTGGGGCTGAGTTACAATGCAAGGTAGGGTAGTCAATTAATATGAAATTAATTATGAATAAAAAATTAATCTCCATATTAGAGTAATTTGATTATTTTACTCAATTAAAATAAAAATAACTTTTATATATTTTCTAATAATTATATAATTAGTTAAATATTCCATAAAATTATAATGTATAACCACATTAAACATTTAAATTTTACTAATATATTTATATATATACTATAATTAAATCAGATTCTTAACCTGTTATAGTTATTTTAAATAAAAAAATTTAATTATAACATAATATTTTTTTAATTTAAAAATATATTAAATTTATTAAAATTTAATTTAAATTAATTAATTTAATTTTATTAATATATTAATAAATTAAATATTCGATTTAACAAAATCAAGGATGTATAGAATCATAAATGGTAAGTAATTTGCACTTTCATCATATTTTCCTGACTCCCTAATTTAAGAAACTTAAATTAAATCAATATATACAAATACAATCATAAATGATGAATAATTTTATTCTTTCATCATATTTTCCTGACTCTCCATACGTTTCATAGTCCTTAATTTAAGAAATTTAAATTAAACTAAAATAGAACAGTTATCGTGGGCGGCGCAACCCTTGCTTGCTAGAGTTACTTCATGTGCCGCAACGGTACTGCGTTAGGAGTCTGATCCAGCGGCCACCTCTTCTGCCAGACGTATAAAACCCTAGCTCTATTCTTGGCAAGGCTCAGTCCTTTTGAACCCTGTTTGTAATGGGAATTCCCGGTTTTTTTCGGTGGTTGAAGAAAAAATACCCGAACTGTGTCCAGAAAGTCGATGAAGATGACATTGAAGATGTTGTTTTTGACAATCTATACATCGATATGAATGGCATCATCCATCCTTGTTTCCACCCTGAAGGAATGGTATCTCGTCTTCTATTTCCATATTCATATTAGCATTTGTTCATTGATGTAATCATACACACACTTACATGCATTTACATACATAATCGAGTTGTGTGTTTCATTAGTTGAATTCCGTGCAGCGTGGTCCTAGGACGTATGATGAGGTTTTTCAGGCACTTTTTAAGTACCTTGATAGAATCTTTGCTGTTGTTAGACCACGGAAGCTTCTGTTCATGGCCGTCGGTGAGTGCTCTTGAAGAATATCTCTTACGTAGGATTTTAATTTTGAGGAGAATTACATAGTATACCTGTCACTGGTGCTAAATTTGTACCATGGATTTTTTTTTTGTTCTTTCCATATTTTTTCTTTGACTTCCTGGATAGAAGAAGTCTTTTTATGGTGAGGACCTCCTGAATCATTGAAGAAAGAACAATGTAATGTTAACATTAATAGCGAAAGGTCACAACATTTATATCCATCAGCGGAAGAAGTTCTGAAATCAGAAAGTTCCTGGATTTATTTCTCTTTCTCTCTCTCTCTCTCTCTCTCTCTCTTTCTATTCTCAACATTGACCTTGACAGTGAATATTTTTTTCTTTCCTGTTATTTGAATTTACAAATTTTCTAACCATTTATTAGTTTTCTTTTTTCAAGTAGTACCAATTATATTTTGCATAAAGATACAAGAAACTGTGTTGCATAAATTTGAAGGAAATAAATATTGATGAATCCGATAGTTTTAACATGTTGCTATACTGATAAGGGAACTATATTCTTTTACAACTTTGAATTCTGTTTCCAATAGATACAAAGATTATCTTCCAAACTTTTCCTAGATACTTTTGAATTATTGGTTATCATATAATGTTAATTTTGTTGCTATTCTCAAAAATCAAATTGTTAATTTTCTTGCATGGTCATATTTTTATTCTGCTATTTTCATGCTTTATGATGTTGAGGATTATAAGCTGTTAGCCCATATGGACCACTTTGCTACCCAGGCTAGAGACTACCAGACTTGTAAAATTGTATTTGTTATTTGGAAAAAGAGCAAGCTATGGTGTTGAGGATTATAAGCTGTTAACCCATATGGACCACTTTGCTACCCAGGCTAGAGACTATCAGACTTGTAAAATTGTATTTGTTATATTGGAAAAAGAGCTTGGAGCACCAGCTTGTTTGGGGAGCATGGTTGCTTAGAAATTGTGTCCCATGAAGCTTGGATACTTAGCTGGAAAATTCTGCTTGATTTATATGCTTCCTTGTAATCTAAATGCAGATGGTGTAGCGCCACGAGCTAAGATGAATCATCAAAGGTCAAGGCGTTTCAGAGCTGCTAAAGAGGTAGCCTAGGAAGTTAGCCATATGGCTTCCATAAATCCTAAAGTAAAATGTGCTAATACTGTTTTGGGGGAAAATGATTATTCACAGGCATTAAAGACAAAAAGAATAACAGCGTTTAAGTCAAGAACAGGAAAATCACTATTGTTGGAGCAAAATGTGAAGATGGACTCAAATGTAATTACACCTGGAACTGAATTCATGGAATTGCTGTCTTCAGCTCTTCGCTATTACATACATTTGAGGATGAATGACGACTTGAGATGGCAAGGAATAAAGGTAAGTGCAAAAGTTCTGTGCATGCAGTTCAACTTTTCTTCTGTCTTGTTATCTCTCTTAACTAAACTTATGCCTGTGCATGAGGATTGTTTAGGTTGTTCTTTCTGATTCCAGTGTCCCTGGTGAAGGAGAGCATAAGATAATGTCTTATATTCGACTACAAAGGAATCTTCCTGGATTTGATCCAAACACACGCCATTGCCTGTATGGCTTGGTGAGGATATTTGCTTCTATACTTCTGTAGGTAAATTCCAGCGCAAGCAGACACAAAGCTTTTAATATTTGACTAATATTATTTTTGTGTTTTCTAGGATGCAGATCTGATCATGCTTTCATTGACAACTCATGAAATCCACTTCACAATTTTGAGAGAGGTTTGTGCATTCAGCAATCAGGAATATGAATCATATTTTTCTCTCGACAACCTTAATGCACTTATAATAGATAAATCCTCAAGTTTGTGCTATTTTTTATTTTGTGATTAGTGCGGGTGTGCTAAAAGTAAAGTCGGCAACAATTTAAATAAAAGCTTCAGAGGACAAAAACGAAAGCGGAATTCAAAGAAAAAGCAATTGGTCCAAAGGAATATGGGAGACTACTTTAAGAAACTGAGATTCCAGGTCACTGTTTCATCTGTGTCTTATAATTAAAAGTAGTTCTTCATTAAATTTGATTATTTGATTATTTTCTTTCCTTTGTTATATTCATGATTTTTCTTGTTATCTGGATCATTTGTACCTTAGGCCACATTATTGCACTGAAGTAGACATAAATAAATAGCTTATAAATTTAGAAAAATATATTTGAAACCAAATTCTTTCTTTTTCTAAGATTCAATTCTCCATTGCTTTTAATATTTTTTGTAGATGATGCTCTTCAAAAACTAAACGTGGATCAATATATGTTTCATTCTTAATGTTATTGGAAATTTTACTATTTTTTAATAAAAAAGGAACATATATTTAAATATTAATAGGAAGGAAAAGATACAAATATGAAAGAATAGACATCCTAGAAAAAAGCAAAGAAGGCGAGATTAGGTGATCACAAGAAAGGATAACTGGTTAACACTTGTTATTTTTGCAAGAGGGCAGAGGAGACTTGTAATCATCTTTTGCTTTTGTGTCCTGTGATTCACAAGTTATGGATTATGGTTTATGGAATGCTTAGGATCAGTTGGGTCATGGCAGTTTCAACGAGACCTTTGTTTAGATAATTATTTTGGGAGGAGCTGTCTTACTTGTCTGGTATCTAGAGGGGGATCTTAATGCCTCTAGATTCCCATATGAAGTATTTGGAAGAGATAGAACCACCACCACTTTGAGAGGCTTTATTTATTTTACACAGGAGTGTGAATTAAAGGATTTACCGCTTGCTAGTGCGCAGTGTATTTGGCCACTGGTTAGAAGGGGAATATGTTTATTGTGCATATATGAATTCCTGACTTCAAAACCACAATGCAAGAATGGTGATATAAAGGAGATTTGTTAGGATGGGGAGACAGATTTATGCATAGATTGAAAAACTTGAAGATAGGGTTAAAAGAATGGAACATGGAGGTGTTTGAGAATATTAGCTTAAGGAAAACAAAGATCATAGAGGAATTGTAAGAGTTGGACATTTTGATGTATGAAAAAAATTCTTTGACAGCCAAAAAACTCGTTTAACGGATTTGAAAAATGAGCTAGAGGAAGTGTTGTTGAAGGAGGAGAGGTGTTGAGGCAAAAGGGGAGAGTAAAATGAATGGGGAGTTTTTTTTGTTTGTTCTTTTCCTTCAGGGTAGAGTAAACATTAATTCAAACTTGTCTCTCTAGGATTCCTTTATGTTACATGTCTTTGTTTAATGTTCCAATGGGAGTGGTTTAGAGATTAGAGGGTGTGAGAGGGAATTTCTTCAGGCAGGAGCTAATGAGGAGTGGAGAGATTCTTCGGTGAGTAAGGAGGTGTGTTTCAAGTCTAGAACTTTTGGAGGCCTGGGAGTCGGGAACCTAAATTCCAGAAGTTTGTTAATACCAGCTAAGTAGTTGTGGCGCTTTTCGTTTGAACCTAACTCCTTGTGGCATTAAATGATCAAAAGAATCCATGGGACTCAATGTTATGGATGGAATGTAGTGCCCAGGAGATCCACCCAGCATAAAAGCCCTTGGAAGGCCATTTTCAGGTTGTTACATCTTTACACATCTCTTACTAGATACAGGATGGTTCCAAGGTTTTTTTCTTTGGGAGGACCAATAGTGATGTGATTGTTCCCTTAGTATACAATTTCCTCATATCTTTCAGGTTTCTTTATGCCATAGCCCCAATTGGCAACCTTTTCCATTGCCAGAAAGGTAATGTAAGTTTGAATTTTTCACTTCTTCAGTAACTTGAATCCCTACGAGCCAAGGCTTATGGATAATTTTATGATATTTCCCGCACTATCCTTCACATGAATTGGAAAACAATAATCATCTGATCACCCATATTTCCTATTTGCCCTAGGTGCTGTTTTTTTTTTGTTCATTGTTTCTTTAGGCTCTTGCTCGGTTGGATATCTTATCCATTGGTTTTGGATTGTTTGCTTCAATTTCTTAATAAAAAAGGGTGGAAGAGGGTAATGCAAACATGAGATTCTAGAATAGGTTGTCAATAGACGAGATTGGGACCATTCTCACAAGCATCTGTGAAATGCCATCTTCCAAACTCAATTGCTGTACTTTGACTTGTTTGAAAGTGCAAGATGACTCTGAAGTGTTTTGGAAGACACATTGGTTGGGATCAATAATGGGCTAGCCAATTTCCATGAATTTATCATTTATCCTCTCACCATAATGCTCCTATTTCCCTTTGTGCAAGCCCTACTGATGGCATAGTAGCTTGGGATTTTCATTTTGTGCATAGCTTGGGATTTTCATTTTACTTAGAACCTTCTTGGTCGGGAGAGGTTTAACTTGTTGGAGCATCTTTGACTTAATTCCCAATCGGATACTAGAATATGGACCCTGGAAACCTTGGGAATATGCACTTGTAAATCCTTTTTTGACCTTATAACCCGAATCCTAAACAACTATTACCTTCTTTTTGCCAAGGTATTTTGAAAAACTCAAGGTCCATCTAAAGTAAAGGAGACATTGCAACTTTGTAGGTCCAATCGAGCTTTGTCATCCAATATCTGTGTTATGTATTGGAAAAGGAGAGACACACTCATATTGTTGCTATGTTGTGAGATGACCTGGAGATCGTGGACAAATTTGTTTGGGATGTTTGGATTGGATTGGGTTGTTCCCTCACAGTGGAGTGTTTAATAAGTTCTTGCATTAATGGGGATCGTATCCGTGGAGGCAAGCAATATTCGCAAGTCTATGGAGTCTCTGGCTTGAAAAAAATCATAGGATATTTGATGGTCGCTCTTTGTTAAGCCATGAGTTATGAGACATGATGGCATTTTTGGCTTCTTTATGGGCTAAAGCCCATGGGCAGTTTCCGAAGTTGCTCCTTTAGTGCTTCACATGAATTGGGAAGCAATAGTCTTATAAACTTTCAGAATGTCATTTTTGTCCTATGTTTTCTGCTTTGGCTATTAGAATCTTTCCATAGAAGATTGGAGGAGGATGTTTCTTTGTTGGGATAGGAAAATAATATTTGTTATGGGGTATGTGTGTTTCAGCAGTTATTTTAGTAGTATATACGATGATAAAATTAGGATAAAATTAGTAGTATTTGTGTTTACTAGGATAAAATTAGGGAGAGAAAGATGGGAGTTATGCTGTTGCTGGAAGTTGTATTTATGTGTTTAGTAGGAGAAAATCATGGAAAAACAAATGAGAGTAATGTTGATTATGGAAGCAACTTCCAGAACAACTTTTTCCTCATTCTTTGTTAAAAACTATGCTGTTTCTTTTTATAGTTTATGTATATAACTTTTTCTTGCTCAAGAGATTGTAGGGGTTCTATTTATTTATTTCAAAATAGGTAAATGTAGGAAAACTCAAGAACACTAAAAATTTCTGCAGATTTTCATGTTAATCGTCCCATAATAGTAGGGATTGTAATAGTATTACTAGAAAGAGAAAGTAATTTACATCGAAACTGAATAAGACATCGTCCTCAAATCATCTAATGTAAGATAAGATATATGACAAGAGAGCAACACATAAAGATCAAGGCAAAGGAACATGGGAACTCCTAAACCGAGATTACTGGACTATTGCCTTCCAACTCCTATGTACCCACGAGTCTTCACCCATAGTGTGGCCAAGAATGCCATTTGGTCCCAACATACCTCCTAAGTGGGCCTGGAGCAATCATTAAAGATCCATCTATGGTCCACAAAATAGCAAAAATTGTGCTTCCGACAAAAATTGCACTTTTGAGAGGGGTTTGGCCTCATCGAGAATCTCTTTCCAGTGGGTCTATGAGCTCATAAAACACTCACTGTTTGCGAGAGTGAGTAACTCATGCAAAACCAAACAATCCAAACATTGTGCCCACAGTCTCCATTCAATGTCACAATGTAAGAACAAATAGAAGCAGGTCTTCCCCGCTCGACAACACATTACACAAATATCTGGGAGCAAAGCACGATTTTGCTTGCGGCCTTGCAACATCTCATTGATATTGAGCTTTCGAAGAATAATAGTCCATGGAAACACTTATACCTTTGAGAGGATTTGAGCTTTCTAAAAACGATAGAAGGGAACTGGTAAAAATAAGGGTTTTTAGGTGATATTGTCAAAGAAAGATTTACAAGTAAATTCCAAGGTCCAAACATGGTAAAAGGCTGAGGATGGAGTTGAATAGGTTTCAACAAATGTAATAGGTAAAAAGGTCTTAGATCTCCCATTAGGTAAGTGTTAGATCAAATGAAAGTCCGAAACTAAAAACATGTCTATAGAATTGGCAAAACAGGAAATATGGTCATCATGTCTCGAGGATAAGTTTTATCCAAGGAAACTTGCTAGCCAAGGAATGCTTACCAATATAAGTATCCTCCCACCACAACACTAGAGCCATCTCCCACTCTCAAATAGGTTAAATGTAGGTACAGTACTAGGAGATAGCTTTCCATGGAATTTTGTGAGAAATGGATAATTTTGTTGGAGACAACACTCGTAATCCACATCTTGGCACAAAAATTTGGACTCTGGAACCTGAAGGCCTATATACTTGTAAACCCTTGTTTGATCACCTTACTAGAGACCCCACATGCCTCCCGTTACCTATTACCAAGGAATTTTGGGAAGCCCCAGTTCCTTCGAAGGTAAAGGTTTTGGTTTCAATTGCCATTCACCAAAGGCTCAACACTAATAAAATTTTACAAATCCGTTGGCCTAATCAAGCACCATCTCTGACCATCTACGTTATGTGTTATACAGATGGCGAAACTCATTTTCATTTGTTCCTTCATTGTGAGATAGCATGGAATATATGGAATAAGGTGTTTGCAATGTTTGGTTTCTATTACGTTGTTCTTCCTATAGTGACGGGCTAATACTAACTAGCTTTTAGGAGGGAGTGCTGAAGAGGGCCAACTCATTTGGCAGGGGCTATTTTTGCAGGCCTATGGATTTTTGTCTTGAGTGCAATCGGAGGATTTTTCATAATCATTGCTCGTTATTTATAGAGATATGGGACAAATTGACTGTTCTGGTTACCTTTTGGGCCAAAGCTCATGGGAGTTCTTATGGGGCTATTTTTGTAGGCCTGTGGATTCTTTGGCTTGAGCACAGTTGGAGAATTTTTTATAATTGTTACTTGTTATTTCAAGAGATGTGGGACAAATTGGCTTTTTTGGCTACCTTTTGGGCCAAACTTCATGGCATTATTCCGGCCATTCTCTTGCTAAGGTCCATCGGAACTGGGAATCAATCATGCACCCTCCCACATGATATCCCTTTTCCTTAGTCTTTATTGTCTATTCTTGTGTTACTGTTTGGAGGAGGTTCTATTCTCCATGGTTGTGTTCTTTTTCTTTTTTTTAATAATACTTCTTTTTCCATTAAAAAAAAAGATGATGCTAAATCTGTTTGCTAAGCATAAAGCTCAAGATGAGAAGTGAACTTGACTGCCATTTGTTCCCCAATTGACATCTTTTGGTACTTCTGATGGTTTCAGCAGGCCTTTTCCTCGTCCTGCTCTTCCAGATGCTATGTTCCAAGTTATTTAGTTGAATACTTTTGTAGGAAACGAAAACAAAATTAGTGTTATTATATTATGATAAAAAAGCATGAAAACATTATGGCTGGCAAGTTTAAACAAAGGATTGCAGTATTTGACCAAACTTCATTATTTTCCTGCTTCATGATATTGATAATGTAATACTATTTAATAATCAAATCTGAGATTCACTTGCCATTTCCTGATACAGTTTGTCAAGACATGGGTTCTTAGGGAGTATTTATCGATGGATATGATGATCTCAAACCCAGGAGTGAACACTGACATGGAGCGTTTGATCGATGATTTTGTTTTCATATGTTTATTTGTTGGAAATGACTTCTTACCGAACTTACCTACATTTGAAGTATCTAAGGTAAAGATTTTTTAGATGTGTTTTTATCATAATTGATCTTGTAAATGTTTTCTCTACTTGTTTTAATCCGCTGCTAATGCATAGCACTAACTCTACTTTGTTGGGATACGATATCTTTTTCCTTTTTTTTTATGTGGTAAGTAAGTATTTACCTCGTTCACAAGGTGGCTCTCTCTTTGACTTTGAATGGTGAATGCTTTGAGATTTAAGCTAACAACTTTCATGTTGAACCTTGTTGAAAATGAATTCACTTTGTACATGATCATCCAAATTTACTTTTATTATATATATACCTAACATGAAGGGATGTCAAATATGTATATAATGGAGTAAGCTCACAAAATAAACATGTTAGCCTTTCTCTTGTTTGATGTAGGGTTAATGTTATATTTGAAAGCTTGTCCTCTTGGGAGGACCAAAAGAAATTGTTCATATTTGCCTTTCATTTGTGTATCTTCTAAATCTTAACCTTGATGTGATCTACATAATTGGCCAGTTTTTCCATTCTATTGATCCATCGTCAATTCTTATGTCTACTCTTGTATTATATGATTCGTGCAGTCCTTAGATTGTTGGTAGTGATAGAATTCTCTTGTTGCTTATATTGATAGGGAGCCCTTAACTTGCTTTTGAAGATTTACAGAGATGAATTTGTTGAAAGGGGTGGTTACCTTACTGATTCTTTTGAGGTAAATGATTTTAAGGTTTTTATGCATATTCCTTTTTAATTGTTTATTTTTTGTTTAAACCTATCCCAAAGTTATATTTTTTTTGCACATCTTGAAGTTGCTTTACCAGTATATGCGGAAGCCCATTGGTCAATGGATTAATAGATTTCTCATTTCACATTCTACTTTAAAGTTTATGCAATTTGATTTTACTTGTTCAAAGCTGACATGATCTATTAATTTTTTCTTGTAAAAGAAGAAAGCTACTAGAGAGAGATAGAGCTCTTACAAACAAAAAAGAGAGTAAGCTTTCTCTTCAACCCAAAAACAAAACAAGATATATAAAGAAGTTTAAAGGTGTCAAGTCAAAATTGAGACCCAATCCCTCTGTAAAGGAGACAAAGACATCACTGAAAGGAATGGTAAGCTTTAGTTGATGGAGAAGTGAGGAAGAATGTCCTTTCCTAGACCATGTGTGAGGTGGTTGGAACCGTTGCTTAAAGTTCTTGCATTTTTTTTCAGCAAAAAGTCCTATAAATTGGCGAAGATACCCCATTTCTTCAGTGCTTTATGCTCCTATGATGCAGGACAAGTAGCGATTAAACAAAATTGTTCCATGAATAGTTAATAAACAGAAAACTTTAGGTGAGAAATAGAAGATAGAGATAGATCAGATGAAATTATAGACCAAGGTAAAGAAATATTGAGAGAAATTGACTGAATGAGTTAAATTACGCAAAATAATAGTAAGAAAGAATAAACACATAGAGTGATTAGAAATAAAACCTAGCAAAAGAACTTTGATGCATCATTGTCCTTATGTTTATTGAGAGCTGTTAACCTTTATATCACAATTAATAAGAAAAAAGCAAAATAATTAGAAGGGAAATATGTTACAATCCACAATATCTGTAAATTATTGTAAAGTAACCTTTTTTATTTTAGGCTAAATTATAGCAATTTGCTAGGTCAATGGCAGCTGTTGATAGAGCGCTTTCTTTGGTGTTAATACCAGGGATTTTTTTCCTTTTTTGCTGATCCTCAACTGTATAAATGGCAGCACTTGTAAACGTTTGATATAGAAAAAAATAATATTAAGAATCAGTAGCTTCTTCCTCTCAATTCTTTTATGGTATCAGAGCCATAAAACTCTGCAACCCTAATTCCTTGGTTCAATCTCTTCCATCAATTCTGTTTTTTTTTCTCTATCTTGTTGACTTCTTGAACCAACAATCATGAGTTCAGAGGAGGCAAAAACATCATCCTCAATATCATCAGCTGCCACCAATCC